ACCTTATTGCAAAATGCATGGAACTTTGAAATACATGCAAACACTCAAAGAAAGAAAAAGAAGCTGGAGCTCCTGGTACAGCCGTACCAGAACACGTACAATGGTAGATATAGAATAGGGGCATATTCAGCATCTTACATCTTTATCTTCTTCTATTGTTATCTAATACAAAAAAAATCAATGATGTTAAAAAAGAAAATGAGAAGGAAAAAATAACACTTATAATCTAAAACAGAAGAATGGAAAAGCAGATGTACAGTGTTTTAAAACAGAGGAGATAGAAAAGTTCAAAAATGGAAAATAGAAAGGCCCAACTAATGCTTCCTACCCTGTCTCTACTGTCTTCTTCATAATAAAAAAATCTATTATTTTTTGTCATAAAACTTCTTATCACTAGTAGACTGACTTTCCAGGATGCCTCGAATATTGTTGGGGATTCTCTTATCCTTTTCACTAACTTCTCTATTATCTCTTTCCTTGTTATATCTACATCCCTGTACAACTACTTTTCCTTTGATGCTATTTGATGCCTTTTGTTTAAATTCCCCCCCCCCCCAAAAAAAGATCTAAGCTCTAGAAGCCTTTGTCTCACACACTATTGCTTCCTCCTTTATTGTGAGTAAAGTACTTTGCTAAGTGTCCTCTTGCCTTTTAACTGCTTCACTGTCTAAAGGGTAAATTGTCATAACACATCCATGTCCATTCTTTGAATGGTGGAGAATTGGCTGGGGAGAGGGTAGATCTAAGAAGAATCTGGCTAAGTCCCCATAGTCAGACATGATAGCCTCTCTGATTGACACCCTTCTCCAAAATCAGGCATAAGGTAGCAATGGGAGGAGCTGTAGTCTTCTGCAGTATGTTTGAGGGGAGGCAGAATAGTTCAGTTCTTCATACAGGATAACAGCCAGAGTAACAGATTCAAGAAATATGGCAGTATTCACACTGGCTACATACTTTTTCATCTCCTCCAGTCACAGGAGCCCTAAATTGTATAAAGCTACTAGCTGTACCCACCACACATTGCTGTGGCCAACCTTCCCTCCCTCTTTCTCACCTTCTTTCTTTCGCACCTTCCTTCCCTCTTCCCTTCTCTCCTTCCTTCCTTCCTTCCTTCCTTCCTTCCTTCCTTCCTTCCTTCCTTCCTTCCTTCTTTACCTCTTTTCTTTCTTCCCCTCCCCTTTTCTTTCCCATTTTTCTTTCTCTCCTTTCTTCCTTCTCCAGCTCTTTCTTTCCTTTCTTCCTTCACTCTTTTCTTCCATCCTTCCTTCTCTCTTTCTTTCTCTCTTTCTTTCCTTTTCTCCTTCCTTCCCTCCTTCTTTCCTTCCGTCCCTGGTGGTGAATGAGGCTCCCCCACCTCACCGGATCCATCATTGTGCCGTCCGTTCCTAGCTCCTGCTCTGGCTGAAAGAAGGAGGACAGTCAGTGGTGCTTCTTGTGCTTGCTGTGTCCTCACCCAGGAGGGGTCGGGGTCATGAAATGCATTTGTGTATGTGTGCTGTGTCATTTTCTACCTTTTTGGATTTTTAAGTTACTTTCACTGGGGTTTTGGTGATTTTTTGAGTGATGGTCACTCCTTGGGTTAGTAGATGTCTTGTGGCCAAATTTGGTGTCATTACATCCAGTGGTTTTTGAATTGTGTGTGTCCCACAAATGAGTATTACACACACACACACACACACACACACACACATATATATATATAGAGAGAGAGAGACTATATGTTTGCGTATATATGTGGTTTTGCACATGTGTTGTAATGTATTTTTTATCTCTTCCACTGTGTTTTTCAGTGCTTTTATGAGTGATGGTCACTCGTTGGCCTGATGGATGTTTGTGACCAAATTTGGTGTCATTTCATCCAGTGTTTTTTGAGTTATGTGTGTCCCACAAATGAACATTACATTTATACACATATAAACTAGCTGTCCCCTGCCACATGTTGTTGTGGCCCAGTCTATGTATATGTGTTTTGTGTGTTTATATATTTGTGTATATGTGTATATATATGTGTTTGCGTATATATATGTGTTTGCATATATATGTGGTTTTGCACATGTGTTGTAATGTATTTTTTATCTCTTCCACTGTATTTTTCAGTGTTTTTATGAGTGATGGTCACTCATTGGCCTGATGGGTGTCTTGTGGCCAAATTTGGTGTCATTTCATCCAGTGTTTTTCGATTATGTGTGTCTCACAAATGAGCATTACACACACACAAACACACACACACACACACACACATATATATAAGGCTTGGGCAATCCATGGTTCTAAATGGTTCTAAAGTACTTACAAAACTAAAGTTCTGGTGATGAAACTTTCAAAACTCTAACAAAACTCTCAAAAATTCATTATAAATGGCAGTTCCTAATTGGTTCTGTCATAAAAATCGCCAATAATGAAATAATAATTACATTTTGAAAGTTTTGTTAGAGTTCTGAAATTTTCACCACCAGAACTTTAGTTTTGTAAGTACTTTAGAACCATTTAGAACCATGGATTGCCCAAGCCTTATATATATATATATATATATATATATATATATATATATGACTAGCTGTCCCCTGCCACATGTTGTTGTGGCCCAGTCTGTGTATATGTGTTTTGTGTGTTTATATATTTGTGTATATGTGTATATGTGTGTGTTTGCGTATATATGTGGTTTTGCACATGCGTTGTAATGTATTTTTTAATCTCTTTCACTGTGTTTTTCAGTGTTTTTATGAGTGATGGTCACTCTTTGGCCTGATGGGTGTCTTGTGTCCAAATTTGGTGTCAATTCGCCCAGTGGTTTTTGAGTTATGTTAATCCCACAAACAAACATTAGATTGTTATTTATATAGATGTAAATGTCAAATTATAGGTACTGGCTTGAATTAGCCTTCTTTTGCATTACTGCTCTCAAGCTAGAACTTATTTTATATTACTGGCTTCCAGCATGCCTAGAAATGCCTTCTACTGATGCTGTGAATTTGTATTATTTTGGACTGTAAGTGAATAACCAACTCAAAATAAGATGCTTACTCCCACAACAGCATTTTTTTCCATTTGTTAACCTTTTTCTTTTGCTGAAATCTGAGGCCACGTGCTGTAAATATTTTTTGTTTCTGAGACATTAATTAAGATTCAGGGTTCAAAATAAGTCTCTGATTTGTGAATTTATTAATATCAAATAGGTTAAAGTGTGGATTAGGAAATTTTAGCCAAATCCATATATTCTGGATATTAACTGCCTAGACTGCCAGTAAATCTCACATTACTACAAATGGTAAAATTATGAGAGCCTTAGTCCAAAATATCCAGGAAATCTAATGTCCCCATCTAGAGTATCAGCTAATCAGTTTATAGGTTACAGCAACGTCCTGCAAAAACAAAACTTGGCTTTAAAATACGTGCATAATATAGTGTTGGGGAAAGGTAAATTTCACACATTGCCCTTGGTTATTTATTTTTTAGTAAAGCAGTGTTATTTATTTGAAATGAAGTGATGACATCAAACTACATACATACACATACAGTGCAGAATTGAATAAAAAGGGTTAGTGATGGGAAGAAAAAAAGGGAAAAAGACGTAAAATAGGTAATGGAAATAAACAAAATAAACAGGAACAGTAGATTCAGAGGAATTAAATTGATTTGACTTGGCTTGAGAGAATGAGTGGGTCGGAAGAAATGAACTGGAGGAAATTAAGAGCAATGAGTCAGAATCTGAAAGGGTGTGGAAAGAAAAGAACTGGAAGTGACAGAAAGTCTTTATATTGTGCTTAGTGAATGGCACTAAGCACAATATGAGAATCAGTGCTTTTCTGAAAAGGAGAATCACACAAAACGCCTGACAATTGCAGACCAAGTTTGTACATCTGAAGTAGGAGGAGATGCGTTCGGACAGGTGAGTTGGGCCAGAACCGTTTAGGGCTTTATATGGAAACTCACAACCATTATTTCTGAACGGAGCTCTCATTTTTTAGAAATACCAAATGGGATAGTCTGGTTTGTACCACTTCAGAGCATATGTGAATATTCATATGACTGAGTATATCACTATTAAGAAATGAATTAACATCTCTATATATAGAAAATAAGCTAGTGTAGAATCCTTTCCCAGATATACTACCATTCTCGGTATAGGAATAATTCATGTATGAGTGTCTCTAACTCGACTGTTCATGAAGACTCTATGACCTGCAGTCAGGTAGATCTTCATCTCTTTATGTAAATCTTTTAGGGAAGCTTTCCTGATTACTCGTTCATTTTGTTTAATGACTATCACCTTAAATAAACACTGACAGTTATTTTCACTGAGAAAACAGCTGCTAATCATTTAAAAGAATCTAGGTTTCACTAAATGTAGACTGAAAAGTAATGGCACCAATCATGAGGCTCTTCAATCACTTTTTAAAATTAAAAATCCCTAAAAGTGATAATTGTAATTGTTATCACCTTCACATTCTTTGCTCCCAGATTTTGCATATTTTACCATGTATGTGTCAATCTTGTTATTTATTTACGGCAAATAGTGAGGTGGTGGTTATGCTTGTTCCCCCAATTTTTGGCATGTTATCCCTTTTTGATCAATATTTATTTTTAAGGAAATATTCTTAGGCTCATACTGCTCTGAATGTGTCACACTATAGTCTTGCAAGCCACTTTGTCAAGGAAGAAATCGTAAGCTTTTTTGGCTTTTTCCCAATAATGTGATTCCTTCTGCATCGAATCCTTTGGGAGATGCTAGCGGGGTACAAATAAAGTTATAATAATAATAATAATATCCTTGTTCAAAACCTGTCAAATACCCTTTAGAAATGAAGTGCTGGCACCCACCAGTTTTGTAATGACCCTTGAAACATTTTTTTATTGATCACACATGCCTAATAAAAAGCACAGATTAGTGTGGAAACTGTCCCAAAATGACTTGTGAGAGAAAGGTAGGAAAGTGAGATAGACGAGAAATAGAAATCTTTCTTTATTTCCAAAGACATGCTACAAATGACCAGACTTACCTGCAAATTTGATATGGAACTTATTTTCAGGCTTCAATATCTGAACATACAGAGGGCAATTGGGTGCAAAATCTTTAACTGCCCAAGCTCTTAAAATGGTTTGATGATCCTATAATAAAAGAGAAGGGAATACATAAGGAAAGATGCATTTGTTCAGACTTTAACATCTTTTAATCTTTATATTTCCAGTTGCTTATTTAGCATAATAAAGAATATACCATAGCTGTTGTGCCAGTAATCACCCCATGAATGTCAGCAGAAGTCACAGACAAGCGTATCTGTTATGAACACTAGAAAATTATCCAAAAATCCAGTCTTTTCTCATAAACATTTTAACGATAAATCACCATTCATCAATCACACTGTGTTACAGGAATCTTGCATAGACCACGTAAGTTTCCAAAATAATTCTGGACATGGATGAATAGTTTGGTCCATGAGAAGGCTGTAAAAACATGCAAAACTACAAACCCCAGGATTCCACAGAAAGTAAAGTGGTGTCAAACGGCATTCATTCTAAAGTGAAAGTATGTCCAAGACAATATACTATATGTACTGTGAGACTTGTTGTTTTATCCTTCCCACTCTCTGCAGCGGCATCATCTATAAATATTAATTATTTTCTTATGACTGTTATATTTAAAATCAAAGGCATCATATCCAGAACCCAGGCATGGGTTCTGGATCAAGATTGCTCAGCCTGATACCACAAAACCCCGACCGGGGGCCACTGGCACAATACCAGACAATGAAACACGGCACCTCTGGGAACCACCGGATGTTCCCCCTCATCCAGTAGGGGGGTGGCAGAAAATCCAATCCAGGGCCCATGCCACATGCCAATCCAAGTTGTGATGAACTAACAAAGACCAAACTGAGCAACAAATACAAACATGTTCAAAATGCAGAGTGGGTGGGATGGCCAAACTGAAGCAGGCCTGATGCTTGCAGAGGCCCCATGCAGCCTATATATGGCTGCTGGGAGAAGGACGCGGCCGTCCCCTGGCCAATCTAAGGGCCAGGCAGGTCCGGCCGCTGAATGGCTGGCTGGCCAGGCAGCAGGAAACTTCTTGCCATGCAGGGGGCATCTGGGAAGGAGAATGGACCTTGCCTGGTAAATCAGGCAGTGTATTTAACCCCAATAAGAGTTGTAAGAGATGCTAGGGTGCATCCACTGCCATTTCTATTTTACAAACAGAAAACATAACATGTATAATGTTACTTGCAGGGGGCATCTGGGAAGGAGAATGGACCTTGCCTGGTAAATCAGGCAGTGTATTTAACCCCAATAAGAGTTGTAAGAGATGCTAGGGTGCATCCACTGCCATTTCTATTTTACAAACAGAAAACATAACATGTATAATGTTACTTTTCGGTTCTTCTGTTTCTTACAGGATGTCTAGCATTCTGAACATCAGCAAGCTAATTCTCTGATTTTTTTTCTCCAAAGTGCATATATTAATTTTCAAAGCTACATAGGAAATTGCTCTGTGATGGTGGATTGATGTAGAGCAGGCATGGGCAAATCTTCTAACTTGGGGGCCGCATGCTAGCACTCCCTGTTAAGAGGACTGGCTGTATGGCGGTGGAAGGAAGGAGGAAGGAAGGAAGGGGAGGATGGAAGGAGAAAGAGTGAAGGAGGAAAGAGGGAAGGAGGAAAGGGTAGAATGGAAGGAGAAAGAGGAAGGTAAGGGAGGGAGGTGAGGAGGAAGGAAAGCAAGAAGTAAAGATAGATGAAAGGAAGGAAGGGAAGGATGAAAGAAAGAGGGAGGTAAGGAGGAAGGAAAGAGAGAAGGAAGGAAAGACAAAAGGAAAGGCGAGGACGTTAAGATCATCCGGGGAGGCCCTGCTCTCGGTCCCGCCAGCGTCACAAGCGCGGTTGTCGGGGACGAGAGACAGGGCCTTCTCGGTGGTGGCCCCTCGGCTATGGAATGCCCTACCAGTGGACATCAGGCAGGCCCCTTCGTTGCTGGTGTTTCGGAGGAGGGTTAAGACGTGGCTCTATGAACAGGCATTCGGATAACTATGCAATGACAACTAACTCAGTAAGACGGCATTTTGAACAAGGAACGAAAAAGGACTGTGAGAACGGGATCTGATTCTAATTGAGGCGTTGATGACTATATGTGTGTCATTTGTGTATGTGTGTCTTATATACTGTCAGTGTTGCCCATTTTTATTGTAAACCGCATTGAGTCGCCGTCTCAGGCTGATAAATGCGGTATACAAATGGAGTAAATAAATAAATAAATAAATAAATAAATAAAGGATGGAAGGATGGAAGGGAAGGATGGGAGGAAGGGAAGGAGGAAGGAAGAAGAGAAAGGAGGGAGAAAGAGAAGGGTGGAAGGAATGAAGGGAAGGAGGAAATAAATAGAGGAACGGAAGAGTGGAAGGGAATGGAAGGAAGGAGAAAGAGGAAGAGAGGGAAGGAAGGGGAAAAAGAGAAGGAAGGAAAGACAAAAGGGAAGGGAGGGAGGGAGGGAGGAAGAGAGGAGAGAGGGAAGGAGAGAGGGAAGAGGGAAGGAAGGACGAAAGGTGGAAGGGAACAGGGAGGGAGAAAGAGGGAGGTAAGAAAGGAAGGGAAGGATGGAAAGAAGAAGTAAAGAGAGAAGGAAGGAAGGAAGGAAGGATTGAATGTTGAGAAAGAGGTGGGCCTGAGAAAAGAGCCCAAGGAGCATTATCCTGTTCCTGGGTTTGGCCATACCTGATGTAGAGATGAAATACCCAAGTATTTACATTGTTCTTATACTAAATCTACATGCTCTCATCCATACTAAGATATCTGCCTCAGTCCATATTCATCAGAGGGCTAAGTCTGCATTATAGAGTAATAAGAAAATGGAAATGCCAAGCTTCAACTGACAAGAAAGGAAGTTTTCCTATGGTGAAGAATGCTATATTAGGATCGCCAGATAGTAACTGCTAGATGTGCTCTTGAGGAAACATTTCTAGGAGAAAAGAGAATCCTATCAAAAAAGAAAAATGTTTTAGATGGAAGGGAAGGAGGCATTTTCTCCAAAAGGTGTTTTTTTGGGCAGGGGAACTAATCTATATTTTGGTTCTATTTATGTAATGCATGAAACATAACAGCTAAATCCTAACTATTGCAGATTAATTGAATAAATGAGCCTTATTAAATTAGTATTTATTTTAAGTCTCACATGAAGGTTATCAGGGGCTAAGAACTGGGGTTACATGTTACTGGCATTTAAGCCACCCTGAGTCCTTTTGAGGATAGGAGGCGGGATACAAATAAAGATTATTATTATTATTATTTGAAACACAACAAGATCAGTCCACAGCAGACACTCTGCTGGTTGTTGTATTGGATCACACATCGGACACTTTCCAAGTGTCTAGGACTGTGTGATCTATTGGTGAATAATGCATGCAGATCCCAGTGAGGTGGCCTTCTGCAGCTGGCAATGGTAATTTTGTCAGTGCCTATTGTGTTTAAGTGCATGCCAAGGACTTCAGGCACTGCACCCAGTGTGCCGATCACCACTGGGACCACCTTAACTGGCTTGTGTCAGTCTTTGCAGTTCGATCTTTAAATCCTCATATCATGTCAGCTTCTCCAGTTGTTTTTCTTCAATCCTGCTGTCACCTGGGATTGCAACATCAACAATCCATACTTTGTTTTTTAACACGATTGTGAGGTCAGGAGTAGTGTGCTCCAAAATGCTTTCTGTCTGAATTCAGAAGTCCCAGAGGAGTTTGACGTGCTCATTTTATGTAACTTTTACCAGATTGTGTTCCCACCAGTTAGTTGTCGCAGGCAGATGGTATTTGTAGCACAAGTTCCAATGAATCATCTGAGCAATGGTGTCATGCCTCTGCTTGTAGTCTGTCTGTGCAATCTTCTTGCAGCAGCTGAGGATGTGATCTATTGTTTCATCTGCTTCCTTGCAGAGTCTATATTTGGGATCTGTCATTGACTTTTCAATTCTGGCTTTGATGATGATGATGATGATGATGATTAAGCCAGAGAGGAGCTGATCCAGCTATGTAGGCATTACGTGATGCACGGACCAACCCTCACCAGGACATAAAGTGTCTCATGGAGAGTCTGTGTGGCAAGTTTGGTCCAGGTTCGTTATGAGTGGGGATTGCAGTGGTCTCTGGAAGTGAGTGAAGATACAGCAAGTCCCATCATCCATGGCAAGTTTGGTCCAGATCCATCATTGGATGGGTTTGCAGTACTCTCTGGATGTAGGTGAACTACAACTCCTATAAATCAAGGTCAATTCCTCCCAAACATGGTCATGGGGGATCTGCATGCCAAATGTGGAGCAGGTTAATTATCAATACATTATTGGTCTGCCTTGATACAGAATGTAGTGCAACTTCCATCCTGTTGAGTCAGTCCTCCAAACCCCTCCAGTTTGTTCAGTTGATGATCAATTTCTCTCTGTTAGCTGTGTGTTATAGGAAAGGGTAAGAAAGGGTTAAGGGAGAGGCAGTGGGTGGGGCACACAATTTTCACACCAATGGCTAGAGAAAGGAACCCTGGGATGCCTGCCTGTGGTGGACAAAACAGGTCGAATCTAGGATGAAATGGTCCCTGAATGAAAGGCCATAGTGTTTGGGGAGAACATTGGCAGGGTTTGGGCTGTGTCTTCATGGTGCTCGGCCTAACCTCCAATGTCAGTGGAGGGAGTGCATTTGGAGGCTTCTCAGCACCTGGAACTATAGCCTGTTTGTGGAGGTGGGAGGCTGTCTGTGTAAGTGGACACCTCAATCACATACGCACATACATATTTTCCACTTTTATTATGTGTGTAAATATACTTGGCAAATGCAATGAGGTTGACGTAACACAGCTTTTCTATTACATCAAATCACAGTGTCAATACATTAATTGTTCAAGGTCTGAAATGCTTTAATGTTGAGGACATTATTCTAAGAGTCTCATATCATTATTTTAAAATGTTTACATTTTGTTTTCAAAAATACAATGTGCATGAGGCAATGATGCTAGAAGTGGGACTGACTGACTAGTTATAGACTTAATGGAGTGGCACAGAGCAGAGATTAAAAAAAAATAAGTTATATTTGCAATGTCAGCACAAAAGAAAGTTTTGTCTTGACTAATACACAAAAAAT